GTTTCATGTGGTCTTGCGTGGTGGTGGCGCGACTACTGCGTCAGGTGTGTGCGGGTCAGCGGAGGTGTTGTCGGCGTTGGCCGACTGCGTGGAGGTGATGGTCTGCACTGCTACCGGCGGTGCCTGTGGGCGTCACATTTCTGCTTGGAGGCGTCATTGTGTTCATGTGCATCTTCTACCTCTGGATCGAGCTCTTCGGGCGAAAACCTAGACCCAGTTGGGCTGGGCAACAACGTCGCCCCTACGGCGTTTCCTCCTTTGGGGTGTTGCTTTGAAGACTCTTGATCCTTCTTCGTGGTTCCTTTGGGCTGGATGTGCACGGCATCATGGTCGGCAGGTGCCCAACCGGCGATTTGAGTGATGGCGCAGATCTTGTGTGGCAACGATGGCTGCTTTGGGCGGACTTGGTTTGCAGCTGAGTTTTGATAGTCGGTCCCATCCGGTGTGTTCGAGGGGTTGTCGTGCTTCACTTTGTCTTTCTAGAGTCGGAGCTGCTGAGGAGGGGCCCATGCGACAACGATGACGCGAGGCGGGTGGTTGGTTCCGACACTGGCTCGGCGCAAGCTCATCGCTTTTGTCCTGCAATGCACTACAGAGTTGGAGTTGCCTAGTAGTCGGCGTGTGCGGTTGACTGTTTGGCATCGGCCGGCGCAGGCCTCGGTATTTGCTTGCGGTGAGGGCTACATCTGTGGTCGTCGATGGTGGGGTCGGAGTCGCCCTCGTGGAGGTGTGATGACGATGGCACTGGGTAGCAACCTTGAGGGCATTCTCTCCTTGGCGACGTGTGTGCGTTCTTGTGTTGGTTGCGAGGTTGCCCTGTGTGTCATATGTGGACGTGTTGTAACAGCTTTCGTCTGGTTTTCCGTTAATTAACCGGGCAATTCTCCTCTTTTTTTATTAATGAGGTGAGGCAAAGCAGCTTTTGCCTCTGTTTAAAAAAAACATAAACAGAAAAAGGATGGATGACACATTTTTATCAGTTGTTTGTTTAATTCATGAAAAGTTTATCTATATAAATAAAAGTGCATTTGCGACACTTTTATCAAAAAAAAACAAAAAAGGAGTGACTTACTAAAATCCAGATTTCACATGAAGAGAGAGAGAAAATGGCAAACGAAAACTATGAGTAAAACTTGAAAACAAATCAAAATTTGCATTTTATAACATGACTCTTTAGATGTTTTGAACATATTGCATAGAAAATCAAAACCCAAGGAGGTCCTACCTAAGAATTTCTCTACACAACGTACAACTCATGTTAGAATCTTATATGCAGAAATGTTTTACACAAATTTATAGTTTGTTTTTATGAAAGTGAAAGAAATATACCCTAGAGGCAATAATAAAGTTGTTATTTATATTTCCTTATATCATGATAAATGTTTATTATTCATGCTAGAATTGTATTAACCGGAAACTTAGTACATGTGTGAATACATAGACAAACAGAGTGTCGCTAGTATGCCTCTACTAGACTAGCTCGTTAATCAAAGATGATTAAGTTTCCTAGCCATAGACATGCGTTGTCATTTGATAAACGGGATCACATCATTAGAGAATGATGTGATGGACAAGACCCATCCGTTAGCTTGGCACTATGATCATTTAGTTTATTGCTATTGCTTTCTTCATGAGTTATACATGTTCCTATGACTATGAGATTATGCAACTCCTGAATTTTATACCGGAGGAACACCTTGTGTGCTATCAAATGTCACAACGTGACTGGGTATTATAAAGATGCTCTACATGTGTCTCCGATGGTGTTTGTTGAGTTGGCATAGATTGAGATTAGGATTTGTCACTCCGTGTATCGGAGAGGTATCTCTGGGCCCTCCCGGTAATGCACATCACTATAAGCCTTGCAAGCAATGTGACTAATGAGTTAGTTGCGGGATGATGCATTACGGAACGAGTAAAGAGACTTGCCGGTAACGAGATTGAACTAGGTATGATGATACCGACGATCGAATCTCGAGCAAGTAACATACCGATGACAAAGGGAACAACGTATGTTGTTGTGCGGTTTGACCGGTAACGATCTTCGTAGAATATGTAGGAACCAATATGAACATCCAGGTTCCGCTATTGGTTATTGACCGGAGACGTCTCTTGGTCATGTCTACATAGTTCTCGAATCCGTAGGGTTCGCACGCTTAACGTTCGATGACGATTTGTATTATGAGTTATGTGATTTGATGTACCGAAGGTTGTCCGAAGTCGCGGATGAGATCACGGACATGACGAGGAGTCTCGAAATGGTTGAGACATAAAGATTGATATATCGGACCATGTTATTCGGACACCGAAAGTGTTCCGGATGGTTTCGGATAAAATCGGAGTGCGGGAGGGTTACCGGACCCCCCCTCGAGAAGTTAATGGGCCACCATGGGCCTTAGAGGAGAGAGGGCCGGCCAGGAGGTGGCGCGCGCCCCCCAGTCTGAATTAGACAAGGGGTGGGGGCGGCGCCTCCCTCCTTCCTTCTCCCCCCTCTTGATTCCCCTCCTTGTTGGACTAGAAAAGGGGGAAACC